GTCTCCATGCTTTAATGTTCAAAAAGCTCTTTATTTTTCTCATACTGCCTGTGCTGCAGCAACTCTTTTCACCCTCTGTCTGAAACCAGAGCCCGAATCTGCTCTGATTGGTTAGCTCTGTTGTGATTGGTCAGCGGCTTAGAGATGTCCCGAGAAACTTCCTCTGGAGTGAACACATGGATTGTAGTCTTTGCAGACCATTTCCACAACCTCTATAACACACTACAGGAAAGGAAAACCCCCAAACAGCATAATAGGGTCTCTTACCCTTCAGTGAAACCTACAATACTAGACATTATGTGAAGCTTAAGAGGTCGAGGACATGATGATAACACACTTTAAGACCTATGATTAGAATTGTTGCAGAGAGATCTGGATGTGAGTAACTCTGAACTGACACCCACTGAATTTGACTATAAATGAGCGCTCACTCACAGCATAGTGGAGTACCCTCTTTTTGCCTTGTCTGTTAGTTGTGGGCTTAAGTTCTGGATTCCACACGTTTTGCAAAGCTCTTTGTATCTCGTCCTGCTTTAATAAGGTGATCATTATCATGTTTTGTTCATGAGGAAACTGAATTGTATTCTGCAAATCAGCAAAAAAAAAAAAATTCTATCCACTTTCATGTTTTTAGATTGAAATGAATACAAATCCGTGTTCATGCAATTCTTCAGGAAGTCACGCAGGATACTTGTGAAGTCATTATGTTGCTGCTGGACTCTGCAGGTGCTCATTTGTTGTGCGGATACTCACCTTTAGGGAATGCATCTGTGCGGCGTGTTGTTAAGGCTCGAGTCAACACTGCATCCATTCAAATGAAAGCGACCATATTTTTCCTGTGATTCGCTGAATGAAATCAACATTGTGTCTCTAAGTGCAAAGCTGTTTTATTATCAATGCCAGAGATACAAATAATGATCAAACTAAAAATACCAAACCATGTGGAAAGACATCCGGTTTGTTTTGTTTGGCCGAGTGAGAACAAGCCACTCGCATGGTAGCATTTTCTCCGTCAGTGTGTTATTGAGGGGTTTTTTTTGGGGGGGGGGGGAAAGCAGACAGATGTTGATATCTGACAGTCAGCAGTTCCTTGTGTTTGGAAAGCCGAGCAGAACAAATGACTTGTCATCTGATGCTCGTGTTCAAACTGTTTATCCATGTGTTTCAACACCAGAGAAGGTCAATTATCGTGAAGAGTGCCAAAAGTCTGGCATGGTTTTTCAAACGTAAAGGTGACCCGTCATCCTACTAGTTAACAAATCTCTGTTTACATGCTTTTGGTTCACTTCAACACACACTGCTCCAAAAATGTCTTCTGCATTGTTGATGTGTGAGTAGGTCCACATTATGCATGGGCACTTTTGCATTTCACAGCACTTGGTTTTACGAGCTGAAATAAATAAACGTCCATCACTACGTTGATGGCAGGGAAGGAAAATGTCGGCTGGTGCATGAGAAGATCGTAGAGTTAAGATTTGTTTAAGCCTAATGCAGGGGGTGCGTCTCACTTCGGTTATTTTTCATTTCCTCGCTCCTCGGGCTCGGTATCACCGGAAGTTGATTTGTCTGAGTGCCGTCCCAGTGGCATTATTTTTGCCGGAGGACCGAGGAGTGATAACGGAGGAGCGATAATCGAGGAACTACCAGACCATCCTCCGGTGAAATCCTCAGACACTCGCCCCGCCCCCTTACTGTGTATCGCTCACTGATTGGACGATGCAGCGCATGCACTGATCTGGCTGCTGTCAGACGATCAGCTGTGCGGCGTCATCACAAACGGACGTCGCTTCACCGTGACGCTCCGGAGGAAAGGACGTCCCATTGCTCTTAAAACTCATTTCCCTGCTTCTCGTGGTTTCCTTGCGTCTCTCCATGCTTCCCTGGTGGGAGGGACTAGTTGCAGGGAAACTACGCAAGTGAGGGACGCAAGGAATCCATTTAACCGAAGTGAGATGCAACCTAAAGAATATGCTTGAATAAAGTGTTTATTGAGATAAAATACATCTATGTGAATTGAAAAGGATGCAATGAAAGAAAATTCCACACAACAACACACTCTGGATGCTTTGAACACATGGATCTCTAGGTACAGAACGCTGGCTAAAACACTCGTGTGTTGTGGAATAAACTCTCGTGTGTTGATGGCACTGAAGGAATGTGTCAGCCAAATTCGTAGCAATAAGATTACATGGCAGTTTTAAGCCAAATCCTGAGAGTTAACTTGATTAAAATGTTAATTGAGATCAACTATGTCTATGAGAATTGAACGAATGCAAGATGAAACTGCACTCCTTGAACACCCTTCAAAGATCCACGCAAAACTTCACAAAACACAGCTTTGGATGCCTTGAACAAATCCATTTCGAGCTTCATTTTCTAACGTATTTTTTCCTTATTTCCTGCTGGCTTAAATAGTGAAGTGTTGTGGGATAAACTCTATGTTGATGGCAGTGAAGGAATACGTCCGCCCTCGCACCAGAAGTTCATAGCATTACGATTTAGTTTACATTTTAAGCCAAATCCTGAGAACATAGTGGAGTAAAATGTGTGTTTAAATCAATAGATTGAAGCGGACACGCTACAATCACACTCCAGCGTTAATCACTTTCATTTCCTCGCTGCTCTTTAAATTCAAATGGCTTTTATGTTTTTAATGAATGAAGTTGTCCCCTCTGATTCACAAAGACTCTTTTTATGATGGTGATGGAGAGGGAGTGACTGAAATGAGCTAGCAGTGACTTACACCACCAACACATTCGATCTGTTGTGTGATTCGTCTGCTGGTGTTGACTTGAATGGCGGTATGATACAAATGCTTTGTCACCAATTAAAAGGGAGAGCCATGTCTTATTTTGGAACCGTTGCTTAAAACCACTCAGATATAAGCCTAAGAAAACTTTCACTGTGGTTCATACCAAGGAAAACAAACTCCTGTAGATACGATCGCAACATTTATTGTGTTGTGTCAAACACCATCTGCTCTCAGGCTGCTAAAAGATATATTTTCTTTCTTTAAAGTTAGTTTTCTCTCACACTTTCGTTCACACGGAAACTGAGCATCAGCCTGGCGTTGGTCTGATCCGATCATGTCTTACACCTTCCTCAGGGAACGTAAAGAAACGTGTTGAGCCAGGTTTTGTAGTGAGTCAAAAAGGGTGTTATACTGTATGGTGTACCAGGTGTGTGTGTGTGCGTTCAGAGGCCTCCTCGCAGCAGGTATTGCTAACGCAAATCCCCAAAACCTGACAGTTGACGGCTTTAACGCGCGCTGAAGAAATTGAAGCAATTAATTTCTTTGAGCTGATTTCTCTCCCTCCAGCTGAGTTCAGTGTTCTCACCACATCCAATTTAAACATCTGGTGTTTCTCTCAGGAGCTGAGCAGTGAGTTTGTCTTGAGGACTGGAGAGGAGTCTCGACAAAGAAATCCATGTACCACATCATGTTTTGTGTCCCAATGTGTTTGCAAGAGAAGTTCCTATTTATACATGGGTGCTGGAAGACGTGTGTTTTGCAGGAGGTCTGTGTGAGATGAAGATTTGTGTTTAGGTTATATAAGGAACTAATTGGTTTGTTATACAAGAGGCGTGAACGCATGCGAGCGTGAACACCGGATCATTATGCTTGTGCTTTTTGCAGTATCTGAGCCCGTGTCTGTTTTTATTTGGTTCACTACGACGTGTGGGAAGGCTGTTGGCGTGTTTTGGCGCTCCGCTCGGATAGAAGAGGTTTTTTTTTCCTCCATCTCATCACTCAACCGTCGCACGGAGGCCTCCGGATGAGCCTTTGATTGACTAGAAAGTGAAAGATGGGTGCGTCTGTTGGAGGGAGGAAAGCGTATCCATTTTAGGCACATTTTCATCAGAGCGGCAGAAAATCAATGATGCACGGATTGAGTTTTTATGTCATTTTTGAAGAACGGTACAAAAGCCAATTCAGAGGATTTGTATTGATCAGCAGCGTGTTCATAATGGCAGAAATTCCACAGCTTATCTTGAAACCCTCTATGGAGAAAAACTAGGATTTTAGCCTTTGTAGACCATTTACATGCACTACAGGAGAGGGACAACACCAACAAGCATAATAGAGCCTCTTTAAAAAGGGAAACTCATCCACACAGTGCATGAAATGTAAAGGAGAACAAATGAATATACCAATCAATATTCATTCACTTTTTAGCTTAGGATATTAAAGGTGTTTTCACCAAGATAAAGCCTTGCACACCCTTCACAAATCCACCCAAACACACACAGCTTTGGATGATAACACTCCCCTCTCTAGGATCCTTTTGTCAGTGGATTTTTCTTATTCCTGCAGATCGCTGGCTAAAATATAGATGTCTTGTGGATATATATGTGCCATGCCATTAGCCATGTGAACAGCAGAGAGTGTTCCCACAGAAACATCATTGGTAAATGACAGGTTTGGTGTCAGTTCCTCTGGATCTACGTGCTTCCCTCCAGACAATGTCACGCTGACATTCAACAATCACACAGTGAGACATTTATTGCAGAGCAGGCGAACTCGAGGTACCAATTTCAGCAGCAGTCGCCTCAGTTGACTCAAACGGTGCAGCTGCAGAGTGTTATGTATGTAGAGAGAGAGAGGCGCGGACTGAGGTTCACGCAGAGGAGGCAGGTCAGGAGGGAAAGTGAGGACACTCAAAACTTTTCATCACAAAGAAACTCCAGAAATCTGCTGAAAGCCGCACAATTGATAATAAACAACCTTGTTGACAATCCAAGGGTGAGTTTTACCTCCAGGTCCGGCCACTGCTGTGTCCCAACAACAAATGCGAGGCTCAGACACTGACCTCGGCCAGACACAAAACAAATTAAATGTTGTTGCGGTGCACTTACCTCCCCGTTTACCTCCCTGTCCTCATCAGCAGAACCAATTTTGGTACGACTCAAGAGGGGCTTTGGGAGAAATGGACAGTTAGGGGAAATAGTTTATCGCAAATGAACTGATGTGTCTCTTTGTCTTGCTGTGTTTTCTTCAGAGGCAGCTTCGAACAGGATGTGGAGAACGGATACCAGCAGAACCCTGATACCTGCCACGGTGAGATGGTTATTCATTCTCAGTCATTTACATAAGCAATAAAAAAAAAAACCCACCTATTGACTGCCATCGGATCTTGATTGCAGAGCGACAGCAGGCACAAGCGATTGCTGATCCATCAGATTATAATGGAGCATTACGATGTATTTATTTCAGCGAGGGCAGCGATTCAGTCCACGCTGAAGGAGCTTGAAGTGCAGTTTGTCCGCCCCCGTTCACCGTCCCTGCTGGAATACTGCTCTCAATCTTTCTGTGTTAATTAAGCATAGCCCATATAAGGGTTTTTATATAAGACAAAGTGGGTTGTGGTGACTCGTTTGAATGTGATCAGAACCACAAACAGGACAATGAGTTCCCATTTGAAATGAATACAGGAAACTTAACCCATCACACTGATGTCATTCTCATTTTTTTATTTCTTTCTCCAGATGTCCTGGCGACAACTCGCAAGCAAAACACGGCGCTGGATTCGGCGTATGGTCAGTGAACATGTCTTTTTTCATTAAGCCAGTCAGCGCTGAGCGCTAACAAGCTAAAGGCTAGCAAACTGGACTCAATCTAGTTGTTTCTTTCCTCCAATACATGTAGTATATTATTATTCCTACGTATTTTGAATCTGTTTTTGCGTCTGAAGTTCACGTGTCAAAATGAAGCGTACAGAGAGTCGTGTTTACTCGGAAAAGGACGATAAAGAATCAAATTCAATTAGATGTATTGGCATTACAAAAGCAGTTTACAGAATAAAATCCCCACAGAGGGGAAATGTACATTGTTACAGCAGAAAAGAGCCAATGACAGCTTGATGTTACCTAAGAAGCATGCATACAAAAGTATTAAAGTAAAAGAAAAAGTTATAATTAAAAAAGTTACACAATTTACAAAATACACGTCCTGTAACAGTTCTGAGGATTGAGCAGCCAGGTATATATTGCACAGTTATTAACAGCATATATATATATATATATATATATATATATTGCACATATTACACATAGTTGTGTCCGACAGTGGCTCAGTCAGTAGGGGCTTGGACTGTGAGCCGTAGGGTCGCCGGTTCAAGTCCCCGACCAGACCTAAATATGGAGTGTGTACTTCTACTTGGAGAGGTCCCAGTTCACCTCCTGCCCTGCCGTGGTGCCCTTGAGCAAGGCATCGGACACCCCCCTTCCCCCCTCACTCCCATTGCTCCCCGGGCGCTGTACAGTAGCTGCCCACTGCTCCTAGTGCTAGACTCCTGGTTCTAGGATGGGTTAAACGCAGGGAACAAATGTCACTGTGTGTGCTGTGTGACCATTAAAGAGGGGTTTCATCACTCCCAATTCTATTCTAGTTGGTTGGTATTTAACAGGGAGGGGAGTTGAACCCCCCTCCCTCTGCACAAAGCATGAGATGTATTCCCTGATATGCATACAAAGTCAATGATTCTTCACTTTACAACTTGGGAGGTTTCAGAATATTTAGCGGAGGCAGCTGAATGTCCGGAGCCACCTCTCCTGCTCTGCCTCTCTGACAGCTTAAACATTGAAGCCATTGTCCGAAGCATCAGAGCTCTAATGCCCCGAATCAAGAAGGATCATCATCCCTGTCACGTCCCATTACCCCCCCGCTGGCCACTGCGCTGCCCCTGGCACGGCCCGAATAGAAATAAAAAAGGCTGGCAAGCTGGCGGCCGCTCAGATAAGACCAAGGAGGTGGCGCTCGGACACGTTTTCCCAACACTGCAACATTTAAAAAATATAAGATAAGATTTATTTATCTCGAAGGAAATTGTTGTGCCCGAGTTACAAAGATACAATAAACACAGCAGCATGATAATAAAACTGTACACTAACAGTGCCGTAAAAAGAGCAATTCAATATTTACAGGAAACAGACGGTCACATAATTAATGTAAATATTAACAGTACTTATTAGTGCAAAAAACGTAGTGGAAGATACATAATTACACCTTTATTTATTAATAATGATAATATTCCAGATGTTATATAGCAGAGTGTATAAAAGCAGTCCTTTTCAATGAGATCCCCATCAGCTGGCCTCCTTCGCTTTTATCTACACGACTAAAAGCACCCGCCTTGACCTTATGAGATTTTTCCGACTCGCTCAAAGTCCGTTTTTGTCACTCGACAAATTTGGAGCTAATGGAGGATGATCCAACACTCTGATGAGTCGGCCATTACGGCTGAGCAGAGCCATCCATCCTGCGTCTCTCATAAGTCTCTCGCCCCCCCGAACAGAGACCACTTTGTCTGCCAGAGGCTTCGGCCCAGACCTCCTCACTCCCACAGCGCCTCAGTAGTGATGCAGCCCCCCCGCTGGAGGAATTACCACTCAGTCGGTAGCTAGACTTGATAAGCAAAGCCTCCTGCTAAATCATACGGGCTCTCATCACCCTGATACTGTTTGAAGTGCTCAACACGCAGCCACATTCTGTCTCTGCTGTTTTCCAGCCTATCCACACAAAAAGCCTTTTAAGTCTCTGCACTGTAGATCAATTATCAGCTTTCCTAGACAATAAAACACCCCATACCAAACAAAGCTGTCACACAGGGGCTCCGTTCCCCCGTTCGAAAAGCAATGGCAGAGAGGTTTTCTTTCTTTCTTTCTTTCTCTTCTTGCCACAAACAAACACCGGCAAATAAAAAGGACGTTAGACAAACACCTGCCAGTGTGGGTAATCAAATATCCCTCTGTTTTAACTTCATCAAAAGTAAAAGGGGGACAACGAACACGGTCCTACGTGCACTCTCAGAATAACTCAATCGTTATAAATTGAAGTAATGAAGTCCTGGAGCTGTTGTCCGGTGTGCCACGGCCAAACGGCCCCTGGCGTACCGTTTTAATTTGCGCGGCGCAGATGGCGACCTGACGGGGTTCCTCGTTCAGAGCGAGGTCTGTCAACTGGCTCGCTGTGAGAGAAAGAGAAAGAGAGAGAGAGAGAGAGAGAGAGAACGAGCCTTCTTCCTGCACAATGCTAACATTATGCCTGGCTTATTAGTGCGGGAAGCTCGAGCCAATAGCAGCATGCGGCTCGCCGGACCTCAAGGACAACAGAGAGCTAATAATGCAATCAAGATGTGGAGTGTGTCATCAAGATACATTTGTTTGATAATACAAAGGCCCGTGGCAGCTCATGCCCCGCGTGTTCCTCGGCATATGCTTGAAATGACTCCAAATGTAGCCGTCGTAATGTTTCGCCTCAAGGTGACGGAGATCTCTGTGAAACAGTTTAGCTCCGATGAGGTCGTTGGAAAAGATTTGATGAAACAGAAACATCATTTAGTCAGCCACCGGTATCTATTTCTGTTCATCTGGGGAAACACTTAGCAGTTTAGACGGTGGTGGGAGGTCATAGACGTCTTTTAAAAAAACATATGGGGGGGATTTTTCTGTAAAAGAAGATGGAGAACTAGGATTACATAACTAATGAGAGGTTTCATAATAATGCTAGACTGACATTTGAATCATTGGGTCACATCATGACGTCAACATTTGCTAAGCGGAGTATCTTCAGATTTCCAGATACTTGACTTATGACGTTAATTGCTTAAATGGGAAATCACATGTAAATATGTTTGGGGAAATCAATCAATTGCTATATAAAAGGACATATTTTATGATTTTCTTTTCAAAAACAGGATACATTCTACATTTCCTATATTATTTTAAACTATATTAAATTATAACGTGTGTTACACCCATATTTTGCCAATATTACACCCATATAACACCAACATTACACCCATATAACACCAATATTACACCCATGCAACACCGTTATTACACCTGGACCAAGCCTCTCAAATGGCTGCATCCCCCAGGATACAGAAAGCATTACAGGGTGAAGGTGCTAATGATATATTTCTTTATTTGAGTTGTGTGCGAGTGTGATATTAGCAGCACAGCAAGACATATTCCGGAGTATCGTGGACGTGTCATTGAAAATGTGTGATGTGTGCCAAAGCTGCAGAGGGTGAATGTGGGCATTAAGCAGCTGGAGAGGTGGATCATCATCAAAGTCAAATGTATTGTCAATCTTCCAGTTTGTGTGTACAGACAGAGAGATCGAAATACCGTTCCCCACAATCCCGAATACAAAAATACAAATATATATATATACAAAGTAACGGTCACTTCATGCTGAATCTGCAGGGAGCGATGGATGCATGTATTTCCCTGTGTGCTCATCATGTTGCTCTCTCTCTCATCTTTTTATTTATTGTTTATTAACGGGTGATGGTTTTTCTCTCCACTCACCCTCATTTCTCTGAAGTAGATTTTTCAGGCTGATTCACATTCCACTAATCACTCACTCTGTTGCCCCCCCTCTTCCTCCTCCCCTTCGTTACAACCACAGGGAAGACCACACCCACAAGCGCCAGCACCACCTATCACGTGGCGGCATTCCCAAAGGAGGCAGGTGACCCTGACAGAGGTACAGGTCCTGATGCCCCTCCCCCCGTTGGGGAACAAGGGTCACCTGACTCGGAGCCAATCAGTGTGGAGATGGAGGGTAAGGGGGAGGGATTTGATGTACTTAGTGAACCTGCAAGGGGATTGCACTGCTGGGCCCTGAACGCCTCATCTTACGCTTCTAACCAGGCTGACCACTAACAACACAATATAACACATACAATGGTTTCACTCTGGTAGAACGGCACGTATGCATGCACTGAATCCAATCATACAAGCTGCTTTTCCACAGTAATGGCACTCATTTTCAAAACGGTAATGTAAAAATGACAGTGGAGGCACATTTAAAGTACCCTCTGTCTTTCAAAAAAATACATTTTCCCGATGCTTTTGAATCATCAATGAGGAATCTACTCCCGTTGGTGAAGGAGCATCCAAGTGACGCGACGCATGCTAATGTGTGTGAATGCTCTCCCAGGGTGAAATGACACTTTCATCAGCTCACTAACACTTAACTCACTACTTAAACCAATCTCTTAGTGAATGGCAGAAAGCATTGCTAATTGATTTTCTTAATCTCTACACTTCATTAGTCACGGCGTTACATGACGTGATGCATAATTTTCCCGGGCAGCTTCACTTAGTGCTTCCACTTGATTTGAACCGTGTGTCGTTAGATGGAAAGGATTAATGATAAGTCAATTCCACAGTGGATATACATTCGAAAAACCTGGTTTGGATAGAGGGTTTTAAACGAGGACCTTATTGTCCAGTTATGTTCAGCCGTATATCTCGAAGTACGAAGATTTAATGACTTGTAATAAATACTGCAGTGTCTCTAATGAACTCTTCAAATCAAGTAGAGAACCTGAGTCTAAACAACACCGCTCCCTCATGGCCTTCCTTCCCTCATCTTTTATTTAGCTCCACAAATATTACCGCAATGTTTTCAAAGCACAAGTCAGGTAGCATCCCTCTCCCTACGTGACGATTAATTTACAATTATAATTTGCTTTCCCATTCGGAGGAACACTGTAAGGTCACGTCCCTGTGCAGCTGACACAGAATTCAAAAGTTTAGAAAGCCAACTTCTTGCTTCGACAACTCAACCAAGTCTGTCGTCAAGACGAAAGGTTTTTTTTTTATCCAACTTTCCAAAAACAGAGTGAATTGTTTTGGAATCACTATCGAATAAATCAGCTTTTGAGCGTTTCCCAAGTTGACCAAAGTAATCCACAAGAAAGGGAATGGATTCGAACAGAAAATCAAGGCGCACTGCTTTTATTGAAGTACAAACAATACTTTTAAAAGCCCTACATCACGCAACAAATTAGAGCACAAATGATAAACTGCCCACTGCTTCTTCAGGGTATTAATCACACACATACTGTAGGCAACAACATTTGGCAACCACATACTCAACAAATGAAAGAAATGTATGGATCTTTTAAGCTATTGATATTGAAACTCACGTCATATGCAATGCCGTTACGCTCTTATTGACACCCTTCCAACTTTTTGGGCAGCAGCCTCTACTCTCTTTAAGAAACCCTGCCACTAAACTGCCCTCATTTGTAGTCATTGGCTTTCTGAACCTTAAAGGTGGGGTAGGTAATTCACTTCAGAAACACTTTTTGTTATATTCCATGGAATGCTCTTAACATCCCGATAGCAATGAATACATTAAATGCTTTGACAATAAATACATTTCATCTGTGGAAGCCGTGGCGCTGTAAAAAGCACGACCAATCATCTGAGCCGGCCCGGCTAAAATAACTGGATGGCCTACCTGCCTGTCAGCCTTCCATCTGTGCACAAACTTATCTCGTGCCCTCATTGGTCATGTGCACGTTCGTGTGTGTTGGAGGAGGGGCTCTGTAAGGAAGTCTGAAGGAAGGGGCAGATTCTTTTCGGCTGCGTACTTTCACATTCTAGCGCACTCGAGCTGGTTTCTCCATTCTTACCTACCCTACCTTTTAAGTGATGTTTAATAAAAGCCAATCAAAACACTTATCAATGAAGCAACAACATTACCTGTAAGGGATTGCGTTTTAGAAGATTAACAATCCGTGTCTAGACGTAGTGAACGGCACTAATGCACTGTTCAAAAGCTCCAAATCCTTATATTTTTTATGTTGAATCATCAACATTTTGGCTTGCTAAAATGGCTTCATCCGTGAATTGACTAATCTTTCAGCTCTAAAGGTTATACTGTTGGGCTGGATGTTTCTGATTTGTGTCTTTACAAATGTCAAGGAGATGTTGAAAGAGGTTTCTTCGTAGAATTGACAGTTTTAGTTTCACCGTAGCTTTCTACTCTCCCATTATTAAAGTAGTCAAACGTGTGATCTCCCAGAAACAGACTCTTCAACACACCATCCAGCTACCCCAATAAATGGCATGACCTATAAAACTCCAACCAGTTTTTGAATATTTGATGACATCTTGATCTTTATAGGCCCGAGCCTCGTCATTTCTTCAATTTTTAATTTGACGGTTTGTTCCAGATGATTTAATATAACCATGCCAGGAACAAAACGTCTCTTTGACCCTGAAATGAAAAAAGAGAACAGAGAAAGTTGTCCTCCTTCTAAAGATTGATTCCTTCAAGTTTACAAAGAAGATACGGTTCATTTGGATGTGATTTTTTCGTCCTCATTTTGCTGCTTTATGGCACAGGCACCATGTCAGGAGTCCATAAATCCCCAGCGAAGGAAACAAGCTTTCCATTCAAGCAGACAGACTCCCTGGCTGCAATGATGAGCTACTCAGGCTCAAATGAGAAAAGCCCATAACAAATAAATAACCAGCAGGGGTCTGAGCCGGTTGTAGGATGTAATAGAAACAGCAACCCAATCTATTTCAGCCAGAGACTGTGACGCTGCCGGTTCAATCAGAGCAGCAGGCCGGGTTGATAAGGAAGCAGAGGAGACGGAGTGGAAGTAACAGCATCACAGTTTCAAGAAGAAACCCCCCCCCCCAACCCCTCGCCCCAATCTCACTTCCTGTCCATTTCTCACCAGATATCTGCTTTTCTGTCTGTACCTGCTGCAGCTGTGTCACAAATAAATCTCCCAGCAGCCACTCGGTGGGCCAAAACACAACCGTGCAGAGATGGCCAAATACAGTGAAGCTATTAAAGAAAGACAAAGACACCTGAAGTTACAAAACACTACAATTCATATGTATATTTAAATTGTAACATGGAATATCGTCTCTGCCTAAATAAATGACAGGCTAAGTTTCCAACCCAGTAAACATACAACCAGTAGACTCTGGAGCGGTGCCGTGATGACGTTAGTTTTCTGTAGTCACCGTTACGTCCCCTGTTGGTTTGTAGACTATGGTGTAAAATCATCGAGTTTGGCATGTTTGGAATACCGGTGGAGGAAAGCACAAACAAACACTGATCAAGGCTTCATTAATCAGCCAAAATATTACCGAATACACACTAAGAAATGGTTGAAGTACCGTAGTAGGACGATTTTATTACTTAAAGGGGACCTATCATGCAAAATGCACTTTTGTACGTCTTTTATACATGAATATGTGTCCCCGGTGTTCCAGGGAACTCACCAAGTGTCAGAAAACACAACCCTCTCTATTTTCCTCCATACCCAAATCTCTAAAAAAGGGGCTGCAACGGATCTGATAAAAACTGATCCAGATTTGAACACTGTCCTGACGTCAGGACGGTGGCGCTACGGCTATTGGGCCAACTCCACCAATCAGGAGGAGACAGCCACGGCCATTGCCGTTCGAAACCGCTGGAGACGTTGTAGTACATATGCCAGGCCTGTAGATGGTGCTGTTCTCACAGAATCAGCCCTTGCTAAAACAGAGCTAAAAAATGTCAAATTGAGCAAAATGAGGCATGGCTAAAATGCATGATCTGTTTGGTATTTTGAAAAAAAAAAAGGATAAATATGCCTTATATAGGTATGGTCCTACACTATATTATTCAAATATAGCATGATAGGTCCACTTTAAGCTGATGGCCAAATATAGGGAAGCTATTCAAAAAAGACAAAGATACCTAAGGTTACAATTAAATAGATATGTGTATCTAAAGTGTAACAGAACATCGTCTTCGCTCAAATAAATGACAGGCTAAGTTTCCAAACCAGCAACGGTTATCGTAAACATACAACCACGTGGCGAGAGAAATACAAGCAAACACTGAACAAGGACTTATTAATCTGCCAAAATGTTACCGAAGACACACTAAGAAAGGGGTTAAAAAATAGTAGGACCATCTTATTACTTAAGCTGCACACGTTAAAATATAACCTGTAGTGCGTCCAGGCTTTAAATCTTTTAAATGTATTTCAAAGTGCCTAACCATTGTGCACTCATTGTTGGTTCTGTATCCATAAGTGCTGTAAAAACACGTGTGTAATGTAGCTGAGACACTCATTTAAACACGGTGTAGTCAAAGTGTTGCCCTAATAATAGACCCCAGAACTTACTAACTTCGACTTGACTCAAATAACTTTAGACTCAACCTGCACTTGCCCCTAGAGGATACGAAAAAGCTCTACTTATCTTATTAATATACACATTTTTAGCTAAAGTTAGCTACCCAGCTAGCGATCAGGCTACATAACCCGCAAGCACTAATATATACATACAACCACTAGTCACTAAATGCCTTTTTTACAGTGGATATTTTGACTTGCCATAGCAGTAAAAGAACAGAACATTACTATACTAGTACTATTACACCATTAGCAGTGGCTGAATTGACAGTGTGACAGCGAGAGTAATACAAAGGCCATCAAACTGAGACAGCTAAATGGAATTCAGCCATCATTGATTTTATAATAGACATCTACGCTTTTCCTGCTTTGACATATCACAATGTCTTTAATGGGGGGGGGGGGGACTACTAACACAAGCGTTCCCTTGAAGACATTGTTAGTAACTGACTAAATGATATGGTTAGCAATTACCTGTCTGTTTAACTCCATTTGGAGACCATGGTGTGATGTAGAGACATTTTAAAAAGCCCATTTCGGCACCTGGGTTTGTTAAATAATATGTGAAACATCTGGAAAATATCAATCGGATGAAACGCAAGCAATTAAAATGCACAGTGGC